ATCAATATTAAATTCCTTAAAAAGTGTGCAATGTTATCTTAAATCACAATAGTATTTTATGACTTCTGATAAAAATTAGTAAAAATTAATGAACAAATATAAAATTGAAGTTTTAAGTTAACATCAATCATAATAGAAATTGGCATAAGATAATTAAATTTTTCAAAAAGAAAATAATTTATATGGAGTAATGATAAAAATAATTTTTAAATTCTAAAAGATTAAGATGTATAGACAATATTAATTATGATTAGCACTTGGATCACAGGGAAATGAGATCATAAATATTTAAAAGCGAATCATAGCAGAAAAAAGTTCTAAGTTTTAGGATAATAACCTAAGTAATGTGCATTATATATGGACGAGCAGCTTTGGTTCAATGACGGTTCTCGACAGTGTGGCAGTCTTTTGGATAGTTGCGCTATATGGCGCAATATATTCAGTCTACGAACTTCCTCACTCATACTCTAAAAATTAAAAATATATCAATTATTAAATGCAATATTCAAAGATATTTGTTATATAATAGATTCTTAATTAATTCCTTTAAATCATACCAGTCTTTTAGGTGATAATACATTTTCTGTCAAATTGCAATTATTGGATTTTGATGCAGAGCCTGAACAAAAACTTTTTTCTAACTCTTTAATGTAGATATTTAATCGTTCAACATTCCAATCTTGAATCGGTGAAGCATTGTTAAGGTCACATCCAACTTCCTATAAATAAATAATATAAATTAACCAACTGTAGAATACATATAAATATTTATACACGCAAAATACAAAAAAATATACTCTTAAATTTAAAAGCTTTCTACCTTTTCAACAAAAAGGTTTAATTTTTATCATTTTTTGCTTAATCTTATTTTACTTTTTATTGGCTATTTGTATAATATATGATGTTATTATGAGTTAAATATTTGATATCTAAACTTGTAATAAATTGTTGATAATCAAAATCATTTAAAACTAATTTTCTTTTTTTTWAAGTGCTATTCAGGTTTTTGACACTCTTTTACTAAACTTATCCAACCAATACAGTTTATTGCATTATCCATTTAAATCAATTCGTCAATATTTGAGATATCATATCTCGCCATATCTAACCATCTATGATAAGGCCTTCTCCTTTGTCAATTTTTTATTCAAAAACTATTAACTAATCAAATTTAATTTTTATGTACCTATGTGTTTGAGTTATTCACACCTAGTACTTCAATATTTAATAACACCTAAACTTTTTATATTTTATAAGCTAAATAGTCATCAATAAAAGATAATTAATTTTAATTTCATTAATATAAAATATTTCTTCTAAATATAAAGGATATTTTATTTTTATTTTTTGTAGTCGTTTACTTATAGCCAATATTTCATATTTTATTTTAACATACCTAAGTAGTAATTGAATCCATACTGATAATAAATAAAAACTATATCAAAAATCTAAATTATACACTTAGATGTTGTATAATTAGGTAGGTACTCCATACAGTACATTGACAACATAGTATACCTATTTAATCGAAATCATTGCTAACAAAATAAAATTATTACTTGTTAAACTAAATACAAAGATAATTTTGTAATTTTTTGTTTTAAGAAATATGTAAATACACATAGTTTGGAAATCAAAATAACTCTGATGAAACAAACATGARATGAAAACATTAATTTTCAATTAAAATTTCAATAGAAATTACAAAAATAAATTTAAAATATTTTGGATTCTTTTTTGGGTATATGTTGGTGAAAAACGGCCTAATTGAATTGATTCCCCAATATAGGAAGTCAATATTTTACCCTTAATAAGTATCTTTAAATTGGCTCCCATGACTTTATTATCGAATTATCTCTCAAAAATGTATTATTGGATTAGTCCCTAGTATTTTTTTTTCAAAAATATATTGGTTAACAAAATGTTGTTAATGTTTTAAAGTTAGTTAAACATTGTGTCTTAAAGAAGTTAACGTCARTATGATTCTTAATCTAAACACATGGTTTACGGTATCACATTGGGCATGGATCAGTTGTACTTAAAACAAAATTTGTAATTTACCAATAATGCTGCTTAAATTTTAGGTTAGTATACCAATTGCGTTGCTTAAACTTTAGGGCATTTTTTTATTAATACACATTTTTATAAAAATATATACTAGATGTAATTTAGAATAATATTATAATAGTAATTTATTAAATTTGCCTTAAAAGTAAATGTGTATAGTATGAGAACCCTTGGTTAAATAATAATATTTTACAGTTTAGGGAGCCAATTCAATTATAGATTTTTTAGGAATCAAATCAAGGGTCTAATTCATATTTACCCAACATTGGGAGCCAATTCAATAGAGCCCGTAAAAACTAAGTGCCTATGACAAGAGAAAAATAACAATTTGTAGAATTACTTTAAGCTTTAAGCTAGTAAATTATAACTTGAAATGTTCTTGAATATTGACTGAAACATGGTCCATAATATAGGTAGGTTTAGGAAAATTTGATATATTTAAAATAATAATAATAATAATAATAATAATTTTGAGTTCAAAAGTTGGTATTTAATTTTAATTAGGGATTAAATAAGTAAATATAATAGTACTAGATAAAATAACGCATATCAATAAAAATAGCGAATTAAAATTGATGTTACCTAACTTAAAGAACTTTATTAGAACTCAATTTTATAATTACATAAAAATAATACCTATAAGTATTACATTAATACGGATCCCAAAATAATTAAAATTATAATAATAATACGCATATTGCTTACTCTGCAGCTTTCGATCAAGTTGTTGTCCATCAGATACTGATAACTTGTCCTAAGACTGGACAAGAACTCGTAACTACTATCACCTCTCCAACAATCCTGATTCGTGGTCTCATTTTTCCTAAGACAATTATACGTTTTAAATTTTCTCAAATAATTTTTAGAATATAATACATTATCACCATGTATGTTGTATTATATCGGTACAATATAATTACTTGATTTTTTTGGTTAGGCTGTTGTACGGTCTCTGCGCCGCTTGCTGTCCATCCTCTACATTGACCGTAGAGGGGTGCAGCGACGATAACGAGAAACAGGTCTTGATCGAAGAGTTTTCGAAGTCTGCGTACATAAAGAAAACAAAACGAATGAAAATAATTGCATTATTTGCGTGTCCAAACAATTTTAAACTCCATGGTGTACATGTGCACACGCATACACGACTTACTCGTTGGCATTTTTCCGGTGTCCTTTTCACGATATGGCATTGACTTAGATCTAATAATACATGGCACTGATTTATGGATGTTCCTCGTTGGAGGCACAGAAACAGAGCGGGCCAAGTGCCTGCTCAGCCGTCGGCCGCATCGAGGGCTTATTCGACTATTGCAGTTCCAACAGTATTGACGTTCCTCCGATCTGAAAATCGTAGYACAGTCATTGTTACTTAAAGTCCAAAGAAAACGCATAGGCCATAAAGAACACTTATACTATACCGTGTAGGTCATTATGTCATTTAACTTTAGGTAGAATTACATTTTAATTATCATGTAAGTAAC